AGGCTGAGGGCCCTTGTTTACTGTTACAGTGTCTCCTGGCTCTTGAATATTGTGGTCTTGCTAATGGCTTGCATTCATGTGTCCCATGGCTCTTGCCCAGTGAGGTGACTTGCCACAGGGCTGGGGTACTCAGTAAGTATTTTCAATGTATATGTAAATGTAAAGTTGTTTGCCTAGCAGTGACAAGAACACAGATAAAAATGTTCCCTTAGCCATAGGTATGTGTGCTTATAGTATTTGTGTTTTTCATGCGGCTCTGGCAGTTGCACATAGGAAAGGAGATGAAAGGTAAGATGTCTATCCTATTCCTTTACGCGCTGGTCCCTGAAGTGGTCTCTTTGAGAGATCACCACACATTTGCTGTGTGAAAATATGTATAGTGGTTGATTTTCTCTCAAACACCATGGAACATCTGTTTTTCCTTCCAGGGGACCAGTGAGAATCGGGAAGTCTCTCCAGCTGGTGGAGCCCAGCGTGGCCCACGTGAAACTCACTCTGACTCACCTAGAAACCAGCCATCCCCTGACACAGCAGCATCTCAAATGCAGTCCAGCCCTGCTCACCCCAGTGCTACCCCACATGGACAGGAGAGTGGAGAGCAGCAGGCTCAGCCCACTGTGGGAGAACACTGAGGTCATCTCATACCCTGCATGGCACTAGGCACCTCAGCCAGGACAGAGGGCAAGGCCCCAACCCTGACCACGCCTCTGAAGGGGAGCACCACAATGCATATGCTTCTAAATATCTAAACTCATTACTGTGGAACAACACACACACACACACACACACACACACGCACACACACATGCGCACACACATACACGCATAGACACAGGCACATGTGAGTACATGTTGGCAAGAAAATGGAAACCTCCACAGTCCTATAGAGACACAGAACAATGTTGAGAAGGAGCCCCTGCTCTTGGTTAGTTAGGTCTGATCTAACTTCTCCACCAAGGTGGAAGGGTGAGAAGCAGAGCTCACACCAAGTTGGGTGAATGAAAGGGCCTCAAGGTGAACAAGGACTTCATCTCCCTCTTCTGATTATTTATTCTAAATATTGGGTTCTTAGTGTAAAGCGAGGAGAAAAAGTATAGCTATAGTTTTATTTGTCTTGAAGAAAAACATTTTAAAAATTACAAGACATACTGAAAAGGGAACCAGATGGAAGCCAGTAGAACATGCGCTGTGTTGTTTAGAAAAGTTCAGAGTTTCACTGACTTTGCACACGTCTACCGAATCTATTTTTATATGCATATAGTATACAGTGAGCATAGTTCTTTGGGAAGCAGAGCTGCTACTGACTACCGCATACTGAGTTGAGTTTAAAACGTCTTTGTTGCAATGGGCTGAGAACGAGCACAAGTGAGAGAATATTTCAAAGAATTCAACCAACTCAGTATCGTAAGACATGACAGACAAGGCTTTACTAAGCAGACCCTTCTGGAGGGTAGTTTACAGTGGCTTGTGCTCTAATTAGCTAATGGAATAAAAAGACTAACTCACTGGAGTCCTAAGCAGTAAGCTAAAGAGTACTATTTACAAAAAGCAGAAGATTTAAGTGCCTGGAGGAGGGACATAGTGTCTAAAAGTTACATAGTAGGTCTGTTTTGTTTGTGGAGGAGTAAGTAGGAAGCCAAGAATGGGAATTCTGGGAATAAGAATGACTTTCTAAAGACTTAAGACATAAATCTTAGCATATTCTTCTCTCTGAAACCATAGTCATACACTGAAAGCCTTTGGGTTTGGGCTACAAACTACACCAGTTTCCACCACAGATAGAGGAGGTCTGGGTGACTGCATGTAGAGCAAGCTCCCAGAAGGAAGCAGCGTGTATAAGAAGCCTGGGGATGCCTGTGGAAGGGGGATGCTGATGCAGCTGAATGAGCATCAGTCATATAGTGGATGAAGTCGAGAATAGTTCGAAACGGAAGCTCACCCTAGCCTGTAACCTAGGAGACAGGACCAGCTGTACAGTGAAGGCTTCTGCGTGACAGTTCTGCCTGCCCCTGTATCTGGAGGAAACATTCTACACCTGGATGTCTAGCTTCATTACAAAACACAGCTTGGAATGATGGGAACAATGAAGCAAATGGTTACTCTTGCACTTGAACACTACTGTACTGTCAATCCCCATGGCTCATTTAAGTGACCTTTAAAATCAGATGTATTTATTACGCTTGTGTAATTACAGAAATGAAGTGGGAGACAGGCTGAGCCCACCTATGAATGTACAGTGTGTAGATTTTGAAACTGACTAGAGAAGTCAGAACATTGTATCTTGTGTTTACAATTCTGGTTGATTTCTTTGAAAAGCTGCTGTTTTTGGAGATGCACAGTGGATGTATTGAAATAAAAAGTAAATACCATTTTTAAATATTTCTTAAATGAAAAACACGTGACCAAACAAGAGAAAATCTCTGCTCTGTAATGAATGACACCAAATTCAACATGCCTTCGTTACAAAATGTTTACTGTGAGCGTCGATCCACCAATGCAGTAATTTCTAGCCTTTTGAGCTGACACCTTCACGAGTTTGTGGACTCTGTGACTTTTTCTTCCTGTCCTTACAGTGCCATATGTCACTTAAAAAATATTAAAGTGAATTCCAATTAAACTTGATTTGAGAATTTCATAACCTCTCTTGGGATCCTTGGAAATCCTCAGGGATATCAAAGCTGAGGCTAGTAATCACTACCATCGAGACCTGTCCTGTCCCCTCTGCCTGCAGGGACAGTGTGTTACCCTAGAGTTCTGTGTGGACTCAAGTTGGCTCGCTGCTAATAACTGGACTATTCTTAAAACCCTAAGCAGAGTAACAGTACATTCCAAAGGCCAGCAACCTAAAGAGCCAGAGTACAGAGGACAGTGTTACTTTATCATCCCTGTGACCTCATGGTGGCAGGGAGCAGGCAGGTGGCTAGCACTCCCAGGGATTTGCAGCTTGCTCATGGGACCCCTAAGCACTATGCCTCTCAGCACATCAGTTAAGTAGAGCAGCTGTAAAAAGGGGTGCTCATCTGTGGTGAGATCATGTCTTTAAAAAGCCCTACCTGGTATAGCTAACCTTCCTCATTTAAAATATGAGGATTCTGACATCCCTCAGTGCATAGAGACAAGACACAAGCTACCCGTGAAATGCTAAACCACTCATGTACTGTTTATGCAAAGCTTAAAAAACTCCCTGATGCAGAACTTCTAAACCAATGGGCATCTAGGGAAGTGATGCTTAGATGAGGACAGGATTCAGGGGTGAAAGAAAGGAAAGGTTTTTTCAAATCAAAAATCACATAGCTTATGCAGGGCCAGCTGTGGCTTACAAAAGGGACAACTTGCTGCTGTCAGGGAAAATGTGAGCTAGCCCAGGTGATCATCTTACCTGATTCCCATCTGCTCTGGGCCGATAACACATTTGCCCTATTGCGGCTTGAGATTAGACCCAGATTTAACATGGCAGCTTGGAGACCTCATAGTGCTAGGGTCAAGAATGTGGGCTGGGGGCCAGAAGTTTGTCTGGACTCAAGTGTCAGCTCTGTCAGTCACAGTTGATATGGGCCTGAGGCCTCCTGTGTAAAACTGAGGTTTCAGTGAGAGACTTGATAGTACAGACCCAGGGAAATATGTCTTTTGGGATAGTCTGCTGGTCATGAGTCGCAGTGTCTTTATCTTCTGCCAGCTGTGAAACACTGAACAGACAGCACATTGGCTAGTGGGAGACAGGTCTAGAGAATGAAAGTCAGGCATGAGTCAGAGGCTAAACGGGCACCTCATCTATCCATGCTGTGTCACCCAGTTGGGTGTCTGTGAAGGTAGCTCACTCACAGGGTCATCTGAAGACACCTGTGTGCTGCAGGCTTCATCAAATAAGCATCCATGTTATCTGTGTGTAGGATTCCACTTCCAGGGAGACAGAAAAGCCAATCCAAAACCTACAGGTTTAATTGTGAAGAATCACCAAATAGAGGATAATGTAAGATCCTATTTGGTTGTTATTTATCAACATCACCTCTGGATCTTAAAGTGTGTGTGTGTGTGTGTGTGTGTGTGTGTGTGTGTTCACAAATACTGATGCAATCCATCAGATATTCCAAAATCTGTAATCTCTTAAATTTCCAGATATTTTAAAAAGATATAAATTCAAATATTTTCCTGTCACATGGACACTCCTCTATAATTCATCCCTGAGTATTATTGGCAAACTATATAACTAATTCACGAAGTGTCTTTGTGCTTGTAAACTTTGTTTAAAACTCTTTAGAAATAACATTCGAATGATAGGATTTTTAAACATTTAAGTATGGCCACCTACAATGCTTCTCACCCACACATTTGATGTCGTACAGTCCAACTTACCATTAACGGGAGGCCTTTGTGAGGCATCTATCGTAAGCAGAGCACACACAGGGTGCGTGTGTGCATGTGTGTGCACGACTGCGAAGGTGTGAAGCATAGCTGCTACTGAAGGGCAGCCATTAGCTGAATGGTCATTAAGTTTAAAGAACTTCAGAGAGAGGAGGACGGTCAGAAGGAAGGACTATCCACTGCTTGGTGGACATTACAACTGTGACTGGTATTTGTCATACACACTGAATCACAGCCCAAGGATACAAGCCCAACAAACATTTCACTAGGAATGTTTTAACTGTTTAGCTTCTCACAGTGGTCATATAACAATCTGACAGATCTATGACTCCTTCTAAAAATAAGAATGAGAAACAGCATCCCAAACGACTGCAACTGTTCTCATGGTGGGTCCATCAGCGTGCTGCTGCGGCTGCTGCTGGAAGCTACAGCTTCAGTGTGCTCCCTACAGGCTCAGGAAGGCTGGGGCTGCCCTGCTGGCTCAGCAGGTGCTGATGGGTAGTCACACAAAAACCTTCTACACTAGACAAAGTGCTTAGTGAGAGGTGAACATGGCTATGTCCAACCACTGATACAAGTGACCTGTTAGGATAGACCGCCAATAAATAAAGTTACTGAAAAAGAAAACCAGATTAAGCTGTGACAAAATGTTACGACTCCTGTCTATTTTTATAAAATAGCTGCCAAAATGAACAGAAGCACATTATTTACACACTAGTGGTTTTGCCTGTGTGTATGTGCATGCAAAGTCAGAGGAACTAGAGTTATGGATGGCTGCAAGCTGCCACGACACTTGGTTGCTGAGGACTGAACTCAGATCTTCTGTAAGGCTCTTTTTAACCACAGAGCCATCTCTCCAGACCCCATTCTTTGACGTTTTAAAATCAACATGAAGAGGCTCAGATGGAATTGAATGAGGTCTCTAAGGAAAGGAAAAAGATTCCTGGTATTACATACATCTGTCAAAAAGCAGAGGCAGAAACCTAGCGCTGCACACAGAGAACATCATCTGAAAATGTATCTAGGAAGTCCTGAAGTCAGCATCACTCTGGGGATGACGGTGATCAAGACTGTGTCTTGTCCCCCTCCTTTCTCATGCCTTTTGTTTTTGTTATTGGTTTATCATCACACTACAAAAGATAAAACAACCTGACTTTGATTCTCAGAGGACCAAGTAGCCATCTGTTCACAGAATGTCTGCCATACTCAACTCTTACGGCTGTGTTTCTGCGCCTTTCCTTGGGCTCAAAGCAGTCAGTAGCATCCTGGAGTTTATCATGGATCAAGAAACAAACATTTTCTCTCTCTAAAAAAAGAAAGAAGTATCACAAATCTATTTTGTGAGAATTCATTGTAAACATATATAATCAGTTTTAAAAATCAATCTCAAAATGTCACAAATGCTTCCATACTTTTAATTTCGATATATAAAAAGTACAAAAAGTAATAATTTTTAATCTTTCTGTATATAAAACCTTATCAAAACATTAAATATAATCCTAAGAAATGTATTTTTAAATCACAGTTATTAAATAGCTAGTTGGGCATTGCTTAAAAAACAAAACAAAACAAAACAAAAGAAAACTTTGAGGTACCAAGACCATAAGACCAAGGCTGTAGGGTGATAGCCCTGACCTGCATGTGAAGAAGTCTCTTACACCTGAGTCCCAGATGCACCAGGGCTGCAGTGTTGCCAAGGCTGCTGGTGACACTTCTGACTCTCAAACCTAAATTCCATCACCAATAGCATTTCCAAACATGAGTTCTAAAGATTACCATCTCACGAAAAATGGTTTGTGGTTAAATAAGTTAGAAGCCTTGTGCATGATGTCTGTCTTTTAGGAGACCCATAATGACTTCATAGCACTAAAGACTGAGGAGCTTGCAGAGTATGTGACTCTGAGTTACCCTCAGCCAGCATCAGAATTCCAACAGTACTTCCTACTATCACGTGAACCGCACCTTAGAAAGCATCGATACTGATAAAATAGGGGTTGGGGGTGGGGGGACAATAATGCAGCCTTTTGAGCCAGCTCTAGAGCATCCAGAGGGGAGTTAGTGCCTGGTGAAGGGAAGGCATCAGGTCCTGTCACTGGTCCTAAAAAACAGGTTTCTACTGTTCCCGTGAAGGTCTTCTTCATTCAGAGCATGTAGCAACAGCAACGACTCTTTCAGTCTTCACACCACCACAGCAAAGCTCTCTTGTGCAAATGCAAATGAGTTTTTTCCTTACTTCCATGGCTTATTTTTCTCTGAGGTGCATGGGTCCTGCCCAGCTGGAATAGGATCTTTGCCTTTTACTTGCTTTTTGGCTCAGAATGAAGTCAACTTTCAGGCAGACGGTCAGTCTGCAGACTAAAGAGCTGTTCTTCCAAGAAGGCACTCCCAAGGCCATACTGCTTTTCATGGGTGCTGACTTCTTCTGGTGACAGGTGGCTTGCTCCAAGAACAAACTCTGCAAACCTAAGAAAATTTAGTTTTAAACAGTTAATTTTGTCACAGAGGTTTATCTGAAAGATGATGTGTACCTCCCTACTTCTCCCCTTTAATTAAATTTGAATTTGTGTTAGCTGACGATGACATTAAACCTGTGCAGGGAATGGCTTTCGTGATTTGTCTGTAGAGAGCATGAGAAGGTGGAAATGTGGGCAGGTTTATGCATCAGACACTCGGGTGTACCAAGTCATTCCCTTTTCCCTGCTCCTTGTGAGTGTGGTGGATTGCTCAGATGTTACTGTCAATGCCTCGCTCAGATCCGCACGGCTCCTGAGACCTCAGAGACGCTCTTGGCAGGCCAGAGCACTCAGGAAGTAGAACTCCCACAATTCTAGTGTAAGGTATGACTAAGGGGAATGGTTGCTTCTGAGCAGAAGGGCATGCTGTGGACATTGTGTGATTTTCAAATCATTTTCAACATGAGCTATGGCCAGGGCAGGACTTACTTTTTAGGGGCTTGGAGTCTGGAGACAGCCAGCCAGGAAGGGAAGTCAGGCCTGCAGCAGGCTTGGCGCAGCTCCTCGAGAGCGCTGGCTGTTTCAGCTTCAGCTTGCTCCCTATACTCGTCATCAGTGAGATACCTTGCCACCAGCGGTTCTGCTGTGAACCATGGCCTCATTTTCCTAAAACACATGACATGTGGTTGCCAGATTCCAAATCAATCCTTATAATACACAAAAATACACATCGTAGACACCAACAGAAATACCAGGGAGCTCCTTGGACGGCAGCCTGCACTTTCCACAGTCCTATGACTGAGGGGTAAGGAATGGTCCTGGTGAGCCTACTGTACTTTTCTCTTCTCTGACCACCAGAGCAATGGCCTAAGGACTTTGATGAATCAATTTCTGACTGAGATGGTGATTATATTTTTTTTCCACTGATTTCTAATCAAACAATGAGACAAAAAGTCTAGCTTCTTGCTTTGCCTGCTGATTTTCTCTGGCAAGCTTTCAGTGTGTCTTTTTAGGGAGACCAACAGGGACATACACCGCTTACTACACTATGAAGAAGCTGGAGATGTGGGATCTCACTCCCACCTAGTGGTGGTGCCTCTGATTAACCCGACGCAGACAGGAGGAGATGCACAAGGTCCATCAAAGAGAGGAACTTGAATTCGTTCTTCTTTGGCTACACATACATTAAGAACCCAGAGGCTGGATATTGTTTTCTAGTCAGGAAAGGGATGAGTATCATAAAACTATAGCAATCTGTACTTTAGGAATTAGAGATGCTAATAGAGATATACTTGTGACAAGGTTTCAAGTAACATTTGTGCTACATTCATCAATGAGTCTTAAAATGTTTGCAAGCGACTTAAAATATAATTGAAAAGATTGCCAAGTTTTGTGTGTGTGTGTGTGTGTGTGTGTGTGTGTGTGTGTATAAATGAAAGAACTGACTGGATTGAAGAACAAGTGACATTGGTTCTTTCTCCTCTTCTGAACAACTAGGCAGGTTTCCTACAGGACAAACCCAGGCTCTGACTCAGAACATTGGAGCACAACCCAGCTTGAGAGTGTCCTCACTGCCTGAAGTTGGCCAATCCCTTCCTGGTTCCACCTCACTGTGTCACATGGAAAGGACAGCAGAATCCTTGCCTCGTCAGTCACTTAACAGGTGAGACAGGATATTTACACGAACTGCTCAGTATCATAATTAAAAAAGCTATTATATAGTATCAACATACACGTACACAACACTTCGCTAACTAGAAAGTGTGATGTGAAAGTCAAGACATTGTCTGCTTTATTATTTAACCTGTACGTTTCTACTTTAGCCCTTACCTTCTTATATAATTATCCCCTACCAACATGTAAAGTAGACAGCATAGCAGTACATATGGATTGTTATAGAATGTCCCACAGACACATAATGGAGCCATCTGCGAATGAGAACACATTCGCTACTGGCAAGACAGTTAGGTAGCTAAGGGAAGGAGAAAGGAGCTCTGGGTTCCTTGGGCCACAAGCCTGGCATATATGGTGGCCTGGAGGCTATGCAACGGCCAGCCTCCTCCTAGTGGGGAGACCTCTTCCCAGATGGGGCCAGAAGGAAAGCCCTTTGGTCTCAAGGCCTCTCACTTGCACTTGCCACCTTTTGTCCCATGAATACCTGTGCTGTTGCTAATGTTTTACCCAAGTGATGCTGTCACAGTCAGCTACCAGATCCATCTACTACCTGTTACTGTGGAGTCTGTTTCCTCACAGCCGTTTACTGAACATCTAGTAACTCCCTTTACCAGCCTTAATCTCACTTTCCCACTCCACATCTCTATCAGCATCTGCCTGGACCACAGCAGTGTCTACGAATGCCTTTCACTATAGGAGCTTCCCCAACTCCCTATGCCAGAAAGCAGATGGGTCTACCCCACCAGCCAACAGTTACTCATCTCTAGTTTAGTTTTTGTCTGTCAGGTGATTTTGTTTATCTTTCATTAGATTAACTGCCAACATTTACACTACGGGAACTACATCTGAGTTCTAGTTTACATTTACAGTTTTCCTTGAATATCAAATCTGAAAGCAGAATCCACATTTCTGCATAGCAACAATCAACCCCTGCTAGTTTTGAATGCTGCCTTTGGGATGGGGGTGCAGTGCAGAGTTTCCCATAGTCCTACTGGCCACCCACTTACCTTGCTCCTGCCTGGGCCCAAACTTTCAGATTTATACCTTTTGTCTAGACAGGAGTCAGTGAAAGAATGGAAATGGACACTGTTGAGCCCCAGACCTAACCCCACAGGCAGAATCAGGTTGGATTCCTCAGTGAGCCCATCCAGTGCGGCCAGAGCACACTTCACTCACTGTACTGACAGCACTGTTACCTGATGATGGCTTTACATGGGGCCTTTTCTCTGTCAAGAAAGCATTCCACATCTGTTCAAGGGCTACTCTGGGTCATTACTTAAGATTCAACCCAGTGATATCTCTTCCAGGAAGTCCTTCCTTGACTAACTTTAGTCCCGAGCAAGCTGTTTTCATATCTAAAGGATATATAAGTGTTGGGGCTGGAAAGATGACTCAGTGGCTAAGAATGCCAACTGCTCTCCAGAGGCCTGCAGTATGGCTCCCAGCACCCACATCAGGTGGCTCAAAATTGCCTATAACTGCAGCTCCACAGGATCTAACACCCTCTTCTGGCCATTCTGAGTACCCACAAACATATGGCGTGTGCGCACACACACAGACACACAGACATACACACACACAGACACACAGACACACACACACACACACACATTTTTTTAAGGCAGCTGATATATAATTGCATGCCCACATCTCTACAATGTACATCATCAGGAGCAGGACCATCTCCATCTGTGTGCCTGACACAGATGACAGACTAAAGAAACACATGATAATACTGGGTCAGCAGAGGTTACCTATCTTTCTGTATTTTCGTAAGGCTAAAGCCTTAATTTAAAACCTAAAACGAAGAGAGCCCTTAATAAAAATGAACTGAGTAACTCCTTCCTACCATCCAGGACACATTTCCCCCTAATTCCTATCTTCTGAGCACAATTAGTATCACTATATCAATATTGGCTTTAATGAAAAGAAATGTATGATAAAGGCAGAAATGTTATGCAACCCAGAGCCCAAGCAAGTTTGTCACTGATTTTAGGGAGCTCTACCCTCAGAGTACTTTGTGTTATAACTCAAAGGAGATGGAGCAAATGCTTAGAGCTCTTTCTCCGATAAGAAAAGTGAAACCTCCAGATTAAACATAATTACTTGGCTGGGCAGTGGTGGCACACCGTTGATCTCAGTGCTCACGGGGCAGAGGCACGTGGATCTCTGAGTTTGAGGCTAGCCTGGTCTACAGAATGAGTTCTAGAACAGCCAAGGCTACACAAAGAAATCCTGTCTTGGAAAACAAAACAAAACAAAACCACAATCAACCAATCAAAACAACCAATCAACCACAAACAACCAATCAAAAAGCAAGGACAAAAAAAAAAAATCCCCCAAACCAGAAGCCCCATAATTACTTGTAAGATGTAACCAAAAATATCTCTTAAAACGATAAATCAAACCAGAACTCAAAATGTCAGGTTTGGTAGCCATAGAAAAAGGTACCCACCACCTCAGATAGCTGAGTGCTCTCAACAGATAGTGCAGACTCCAGGAGAACAGGAGGAGGAGGATCATAACAGCATAGGCAAACTGAGGCAAGGCCATACCAGTGTAGACCAGAATCAGGGACAGGAACCTCAGTGTCCACATCAGAAGGTTTCTGCTCCCCTCATCAGCAAGAGGCCCATGACTGTAACAGGCAGCAAAGCTACAAAGTCCAACAAACAACACATAGCCTAGAGAAACAGAAGAAAGGCAATCATTTAAACTTGAGCTTGGAAACTGAGGTGTAAAACCTGGCAGAGCCCTGGCTTAACAGTAACATCTACCAGTTAATTTCAGTTTCAAAAATGAAGAAAGCAAACACAATGTTTCCTTTTTTCAATGAAGTTTGAAAAAAGTATCTACAGCTCATTAGTCCTTGACTTGAGCTTACAGGCTGGCTTTTAAAGACATATCATTATTGTTATCTGTCTGCGTGTGTACAAGTGCAAGTGGTAAAGTCAGAAGAAGACATCAGAGACCCTAGAACTGGATTACAGGCAGTTGTAAGCCAACCATTCCAGGCGCTAGACGCTAAGAGGCCTCTGGAAGAGCAGCAAGCACCCTAAATCACTGAGCCATCTCTCCAATCTGACAGGCTAACTTTTGTGATAATTTAAGATATATGCTGATTATTATGATAATTTATAGTCATATCTGTTTTTAAGTCTAGTGCCCTGGGTGGACAAATGGTTTCATAGTTGCTTTGAACATCATACTGTACTTATAAACCCTATATTTAATTTTTAACTTCTAGTCACTAAAAGAGAATGTAATGTTACAGAGGACCAATCAAGTAGCTACCCTTTGCTAGCCGTGCCCAGGCCATCGTTATATCTGATACTTTGTTTCCAGTGCTATTAGATGGGAAATGTACAATGTTTCTAATGATTTCCACCACAGTGCCCAATTTGTTTCTAAGCAAATCTGAGATTCAATTCCTTATTTACAGTAGATACTGAGGAGGAATAAGTTAAATTTAAAATGGGCCTCACATCAATCTAGAAAGTGGAGCTTTCATAGGATGTCTTACTTGGCTTCTCTAGCACCTCTGTGATGAAACAAACTATAATGGGGCTATTTCTCTGGTCTGGCCTAAGTGGGAGAGGATGCACCTAATCCTGTAAAGATGGGATGCCCCAAAGAAGGGGGATGCCTGGGGAGAACCCTCTCAGAGGCAAAAGGGAGGGGGGAGGGAGTGAAGAACTCTGGGAAGGGGAACCAGGATTGGGGGGCAACATTTGAAATGTAAATAAATAAAATAATTAATTTTAAAAAGTTATATGTAATAAAACTCAACTGTACTTGAGGGAAGAAAAGAAATTATGATGGATTGGGAAAGTTACCTGTGCAGAAGGTTCAGCACAGCATCCAGGTTATATAGTCAGGCAGCACAGGTAACTCAAAATCTAAATATGACCTGTGCTGTACGTGATTCTATGCAATTATTAACCTTTAACATCTAAGAGTAAGGTTAAGGATGTAACTCAGTGGTTCAACAGATGCTGAGTACACATGAGGCCCTGGGTCCAACCCCAGCACTAACAATAAGAAGTAATAGTTATTCAGTTATATAGAAAAATGCTCTTGTTTTTTAGAGACAAAGGGTAAAGAACTTACAGGAATATTTCATGCTATGAGTAAATTATCAATATTTAATATAATAGGAAAATAGGTTAACAATAAAGTGTTCAAGGATGAACTGCTTTTGTTTTGGTAACATTACCCTCAGATGTGAAATCTGATGTTAGTGGGTCTGCAATTCCCATTATTTCCTATCAAAATTAAAGAAATATGTAACATAAAACAAGAAAATTAAATGGTATTTTTATCCTCTCTGTTTCTGAAAAGTCAAATTTCATTAGTAACACTTTTCCACTTTTTATACAGAATACATAAAGAAAGAAAACTGAGAGATGAGGAGAGCTGGCTTTTAAAGAATACTATTTAAATAGCGCCTTTCCTTAAATCAAATGAAAAGTGTGTGGTCAGAAGCCCCTGGTTGCACTTCTCAGCCTAGCTGACAGACAAGCTTTTGTGTGTTTACCTACCTAATACATACATTCTGTTTCCATACCACAGCCACTTCAGATCTTCCATCAACCGGCACAAAACATAAACTGAAGCAAACCAACACCCAATCATTAGCGCCCCAAATGTGCTATACTGTGTGTGGAAGAAAATAAATGATACAATATGCATATATATTGGTTCATTCACTCTTATAAAAATAGAAGCAATCAAATAAATTCTCTCTGTTTGAAAGGTCTATTTATATTTGTAAGTCAAGTATTTATCTAATCCAGAGTCTCACTATTCAAGGGTGGGCCTTGGAGGAGGAAAGCCATTTTCACATAAGCGCTTAACGGCAGGTATGCAGGACTGGGTCCCATTGCTAGAATCTACATGTTAACAAGACCCCCAGCTGCCTAGCAGGTATCCTGAAGTTAGAAGGTATTACTAAAAAGTACACAGTTATCTCAAAATAATGCAATTTAGAGTTTTAATCAGAGTAACTATAAAGTTAACATCATGAATTAATATTTGTCCTTTGGAACATTATTTTATTGAAGGTATAGAGAAGAGACAAGAACAAAAAGCCCAGATGTAGAACCACTAGTATATAAAGCGCCAAAGACTCATGATCATTCTGCAAAGATACCTTTCACAAAACAGTACCAAAAATGTCACCAAACTTAATGTAATACTATACATTTCAGAAACAGACACATTTTAAGATCAATTTATGTAGCAGAGGAGCGTATCTGAATTAGGTAATTTTTCACATCCATAAAATCTTGGCTCCCATTTTGTACTCATTTGCATGTAAGAGACGTACCTTTGGAATGTGTTTCTTAGCCATCAGAAGGACAAAGACTAGTGTCATTAGAATACCTAACATGGTACCCGAAGAGTAATAGAAAATAGGGCTTCTGTCAAAACAGAGAAAAAAATCCACATAAATATCAACCTCCATTTATAGCAATAAAATCTGAAAAAATTCATAATGCTCAATGTGGCAATAGTAGCCAGTAAGGAATATAAGAAAGAAAAACTCTAATCACATCTCATATAGTTAAAATTGAAACCAGCATTTGAAAGTTTCAGTAAAAAGACTGTTGTAGAATATCTAATTGTCTTCTATAGTCAGAATGCCATCCAATAATACTACGCACTTGTCACATGTCAGGCACTTGTCTGAGAGCTTTCCATGAACTCCCAGATACCCACAGCTAAAATCTTTCAGAGGAGAAAACCGAGATATCAAGAAGTTAAAAGACTTCTATGTGAGTTGGCTGCTGGAGGATTCAGAGCAGTAGCCAGCTCATCAGCATGCAGGGCCTAAATTCTAGATTTCCTCTTCCTGCTAGGCATCCATCCATCATGCAGTCAGAAAAGCTGGCAGATAACACTACACATACCTGATCGTACCATAAAGAAAAGTTCAATGGTGAACAATGATAAGAACGATGCAGAAATACTCGCATTAAGTAGCCTGGGCAAATTAAAAAGTAAATATTGAGAAGAGAGTGGTTTTTATAGGATAAGTTACAAGAAACAAAATATCAAGGTAATATGTTGATCCAAGTATCCTACACCAGAGCCACCAATCTAGGAGGCAAATTAATTCAATCAACAGCTAGCGTCTGGTATCAGAGCACATGACACAAACCCCAGCACTCTGGAGAACATTCTGTAACCAAAAAATAATTGCAATATGATAAGTTCACATATGTGTATATGTAAAATAATGTAAGCCAATGTACTCTGTACCATGTACTTATCAGTTACACAGTTACCACTGTCTTTAAAGTTGATTCAAATGCTACCTTCAGACGTATCATTTGTAAATCCTAGAAGAACCACAAATGCCAAGTAGTGTGCAAATATTTAGCACAGAGTCAAACCTATAGACTTTTAAATCATAATTTAAATTTAAATCACTACAAATACTAAAAGCGGCACTTACTGGCTCAAGGTCTTTGCATAAAAGAAAAGGAAAATGCCTGTCACAAACACAAGGAAGAGTTTGAAATCCACAACTGGAAGACAAAAAAAACAAACACAACCAATGTATTGTGTCAGTATATAAAGTTGCAGAAAGAACAGGGAAGTCAACTCATTGACTGTCCAGCAAACTATGAAAAGAGACTTACTGTTTCGATTCACGCTTACTATGTAGGTAAGTATCCTCCCAACAGGCTTCACAGAGAAGCACACAGTTTCTCCATATGGACTGAAGACTATGGTCATCTCCTTAGTCTCCTCTGATGCCCAAAAGTTATGAGTCACACATTTGATAAATGATAGAATGGTTTCTGTATGCTGGCAATTATGACTTCCTGTGATATATACAATACTGAGCAGGCCTGGGCTGGTAACTGTCACCTACAAAACAGGAATGGATCAATCCAGGCAGATTCAAAACCTTCCCCTTGGTACCTCAAGACACAAGCAGAGGAATAAGAAGCCAGAATTGGCTGAGGAAAATACCACGATGCACAGGACTGGGCTCTGGTCCCCAGTGGAACTTCACATACCTGCATTCAATTCACAGATGCTTTGAGGGGTGTGTATGGTTTGCCAGGAGTGGTGGTTCATGTGGCTGTAGTCCCAATTTTGGGGACTCAGACAATGGATCACTAGTCTGAGGTCACACAGTTAGCAACATGGAGGTGCTAGAGACCTTGGTTAAGCAACCTTAAGTGTGAGCACTGGACTGAAGGAGTGTTTACAGAGAATGGGAGACCTGAAGGCTGCAGACACCAACCAAAGGAATTTTATCAGATACAAAGTAGAAGAATCACTCAGTGCAGACAGCACTGCTGCTGGCTGGACCTGAGCAGGCGGAAGTGTATGCGATCCAGAGCACGGTCAAGGCCTCAGACACTTGGTCCTAACAGACAGGAAGCAGAACATGTGCCTACAGGTGCTGACAGATGGGTGGCTCTTAAGAAAAGAGCTAGTCCATAATCATTTCTAATTATTTTCCACTTTTTTCTGTCTGACCTAAATCTTTATTTTTTACATTTCTTTAAATTGAAAATATGTGTTTTCTGATCCAATATATTCTGATCATGGCTTCTTCTCCCCTAATTTCTCCCAGATCTTCTCCACCCACCCAAACCCACAACCTTTTTTCCTCTGGTTAGAAAACAGGCATCTTAAATAAATAAATAAATAAATAAAAATCTTTAAAAAAAAAGACAGAAAAAGTGCCCCCCCCCAAAGCTCACGAAACACATACAGATACAGACACATACATTCACACATAAGAATCCCATAAAAACAAGGAGCTGAAAACCATGACATAGAAGCAAAAGACCTGTAAATAATTTTAAAAACTCCAAAAAAATATAACTGACTTTGTTTTGTGTTGCCTATCTATTGCTGGACATGGGGGCCTGCCCTTCAGTATGCTTTATGTATCTGGTAACCCTTCACTGGAGAAAACTAACTTTTCCTGGAGACAGCTTCTCAGTTGGAGATGGGGCTTGTGTTCACTTCCCTTCTCGGTGCTGGGACCCCCTGTGCTCGGACGAGCAGCCTCATTAGGAAGAGTCGTTAATGTGCATGCCGCCTCAGTCTGTGAGCTCATCTGCCGTGCACCAGTCCTGCTGTGGCTAAGAGCTCTTGTTTGCTTGGTGCTTTTCATCCCCTGTGGGTCTTACAATCTTTCTGCCTCCTATTCCTCAGAAGATGTTTTCCCCATTGTTAAAGTAGACTTCTTCTATTTTAAAGAAGTAAAGGAGCATCAGGCAAGAATGAAGAGGGAAGCGGGTGCTGGAGTTATGAACTCATTTGTTGAATGCAGAATGAATGAACAGGACTGTGAAGTGTGAAGGACTGCAGCTTTTATGTCCCCAGAGCTCCAGCAAGGTGGCACAAGAAGCCACATAAGCCTCAAACATCATTTTTTAGAAAGGGTATGAGCTGACATCACATCCTGAGACAAGGTCAAACTTATCCTTCAGCATACAGCACTCCCTCCCCAGCCAATCTTTAGGTAATCTCCATTACTGAAGTCTTAAGTGCCCCATTCTCAGTGAGAACTGCTCGTGTTACTTTTAATTACTGCCTTAGATCATGTCACTCAGAGATTCTCAACCTTCTAGTACTGCCTGGTTTTGTGTGTCAACTTGAACGCACCAGCACTAGAGTCATCAGAGAGGGAGGAGCATCAGCTGAGGAAATGCCTCCATGAGATCCAGCTGCAAAGCATTTTCTAAATTAGTGATTGATGGGGGAGGGCCCATTGCACTGTTAGTGGTGTCATTCCCTGGGCTGGTGGTCTTGGGTTCTACAAAAATACAGGATGAGCAAGCCAAGAGAAGCAAGCCAGTAACCAGCACACCTCCATGGCCTCTGCATCAGCTCCTGCCTCCAAGTTCCTGCCCTGTTTAAGTTTCTGTCCTGACTTTCTTAAATAATGAACAGCAATATGGAAGTGTAAACTGAACACACAAACCCTTTCCTCCACAACTTGCTTTTTGGTCATGGTGTTTCAACACAGTAATAGCAACTCTAACTAAGACTCTTCCTAAGGCTGCTCTTAAATATTCCTTAAAGTACCCTTAAATATTCCTTAAAATTCCTCATGTTGTGGTGACCTCCAGCCATTTTTGTTGCTACTTCATAACTGTAATTTTGCTACTGTTATGAATAGTAATGTAAATATCTGTGTTTTCTGAAGTTCTTCGGTGACCCCTAAAAGGGTTACAACCCACAGGTTCAGAACCTGTGACTAGGCTGGCATATTCATTCAGAATGGTTAGGGGAGGATCTGGATAGATATAAAAAGGAATTAATGTCCTCTCCCACATAACTCCTCCTTCAGCCACTGCATGCCCATCAAATTAGCTTTTATCTTGATAAATTCACTTGATAAATAAAGCCATATAAAAAATATTTTTAAATCCTGAAGTGATACTTTTTAATCCCACATTTTTAAGTCATGATAAAAAAAAATAGGCCCTGACCTGCACAGTTGACCACATATATGTCCACTCTATTTGTGAATGTTGATTGTAGCAATAGCAGTCTGACACAGAAGTTTCAATTAAGTCTGTTTCCTTCAGAGATTTACATCTTGGAACTGAAAGATAAAAAATAAAATAAATGGGTTATCTAAGTATTTACGTTTCCAAAATCTTTTTTAAAAAATGTGCTCAAGGGCTGGAGAGATGGCTCAGCGGTTAAGAGCACTGACTGCTCTTCCAGAGGTCCTGAGTTCAAATCCCAGCAACCACATGGTAATCGTAATGAGATTGGATGCCCTCTTCTGGTGTGTCTAAAGACAGCTACACTGTACTCATCAATAAAATAAATAAATAAATATTAAAAAAAAATGTGCTCAAAGAGATATTTTCATAGTTTTTATTATTTTATGACCAAAAATTCTTCTACATGTTGATTACAGTCCTTTACTCTTCCCTATCTAGCAGGCGTCTGTTTGCAAATATCCCGTTCAGAGTCAATACTATTAGGTCACCTACTGAGCAGCACACATGCACTGATGTCTTTGATCCTAAAGTGACGGAAAGAGTGAAGGGAAGCTTCCTAGAAAAGAAACTCAAGCAGAAGACTCAAGAATAAGTTGTAAGCATAAGACAGTATCAGGACTGACAGATGACAGATGTGCACAGTATTAAGATGAGCAGAGTCATGGTGGCTCATCTTAGGGACATGTGGACAGCTGCAGCTGGAGTAAACCATAGCCACTTTTCCATAAGGAATCTATACTTCCCCATGAGAGTAGAGCACAAAAGGACTTCAGGTAAGAACAGAGGACTCGGTAAGAAATAGATGACATTAAGAAGACCTCGACTAAACGGCCTAGTAAAGTGTGGGCAGAACAAGCACCAGCTACCAGGCAGAGGCACCCAGGAGGAGGCTTCATCAACTCCAGGCCCCACCGTAAGGAGAGTACCCAGTGATGTAGGCTATAAACTGAGGAAGGTAGAAGAATAGATTAAAGAGCTCTCGGGAAGACAAATCAGCACACTCTGGAGCTTCAGAGGATGAAGGAGATGGAGGTATCTGGTGAATGGAGAGATGGTGAGGCACTTACCCACATCCAAATGCTGATGTAGACGTCAGTTGTGAGAATACTGGGAGAGGAGTTCAACTCTAGACAGACGTCCATCCATCCAGTTTTCACTGGTGGTTCTAAAGATGATGGACAGGTTTGCAGCCAAGAAGACATTTGACTGGACTGGATATGGATATGTAAATACTAGTGTGTTCACAAATAGCATTAATGTAGTATTTATCGATGCAATTTGGGACAGGTTGTCTATTACAGATTGATGTGATGTTACAAGACTTAAAATGTAACAAGAGTTAAAAGTAAGGTTCATTTTTCTTCTAAGGTTGCTACTGTGTTTGAATTTGAACTAAGTTCTTTAGAATCCAAGACAGTGTGTCAAACAGGAACTATCACTCAGGAATAGGAAACAGAAGCATGGAGTTCTCACGGGTACACAGAGAAATGAGCCCTTTGCCCTATTCAAAGTACAAGAAGGAAATCTATAGACAACCCTGAATTGAAGTTAGAGCAAATTGTTATAAAAGTTGGGTAAAAACAAAGAAACCAGTAGCTACTAACTGATCATAATACCCATTTGGAGAATAATGTTGAATAAGCTCAAGAGGTATCTGCCCTGGCTTGAAATATCTTTTGTGGAAGGCAGGAGTGAGGACAGGCACAGTCTCTCCTTGAAACAGCTGTATCAAAGTGACAGCTCAGTTATATAACGACCCCGGATGTTCTATTGTGACAGATGAATCCTTTCATTTTTCCTCTTAGCATAGTGATGAAACACATATGCTTTTAAATTTATCAACACTCTGAGCTGAAAATACAAGAATCTAGGTCAAGAGCCAGATTTGAAAGCAGTAAGAGAACACTTGGGAGACTCTTAAACACAAGAGACCAAAAATTAAAAATGCATTCCTTCATGGCATGCCTATACACAAGAACCTAGAGAAGATACTATAACCAGTGCTATAAACGCAAGACAGCCAAGGTAGAGGCATTCTTGGGTAAAACCGAGATGTACACAGTTCAAGGCCAAGGGCAGCATGCTAGAAGGAACAGTCTTTGGATGTCTAATACTAGAAGTTAGCTATAAAGAAGAAAGAGGTCAAAGAATGCAATGTAAAACCTGGAAGTACTTGAGCAGCCGTGAGAATACAATGAAACACCTTGGAAGCCCTACCTGTTGAGCCACAGAGGAGAGAATGGAAGGCCTCAGGCCTGGCATTCCCATATCACATGCTCCCTACCTCCTGCCCGTCTCTGAACAGGAACCAGAGCTAAACTGGGCAGCCAGAACCGGAAGCTTTGTACAGTGAATCCTTGATAAGGGATCCATTTACAACTGGAGAAAAGCATGTCCTAGCAGGAAAGGTGAAGGGCATGGGACCACAGGTTCACAACCCTAGTGTGTGTCCCAGAACTTTATACAAATCCTCACTGGCAGTCTGGCACTAGGTGCACTTCATGCTAAGGGGGCTCGTTTTAGATGCTGCCAAGGGTTCTCCCTGTAACTCTCTTAGTGAGCCCTACTATTTAAGGGCTGAACTAACTTCCACAAAAAACTGTCATGCTCTGCAGAAGCATCTTCTTCTGAGGACTGAAAACAAAGGCTATTGTCAAACAAAGGCTTTTCAGAGTGTCCCATGGCTGTTTTCTAAGTCACTGGATACCTGTAGCTCCTAAAAGCAGGATGAAGTCGGTGAATATAGTGCCATAGCATGGATGTAGGAACAAATGCTTCTGTTAACGCAAGCCACAAGCGTTTTGCACTTAAGCTTACTCTAAAAGCCTTCTAGGTGGTCTCCCTTCTTCCAGAAATACTCCCACGATTCCCTCCACAACCATCCTTCTAACAGGCACAGAGATCTTTTGAAAACTTCGCTTGGGGTCCATTACATTCCTCTAATTACTTCTGCTAACACCAAGACAAATCTACCCTCCTTTAGGCCCAAGTACCTCTATGACTTCTTCCTCTCTCTCCCTTGATGGCACCAGACAGATCAATCAACCAATCCTCAAAGTAACAGCTTACTCCTGCCTCAGGTCTCCTTGCACTGCAATTTTCTTCCCCCAGATCCTGTGAAGGCTTACACCTGTCAATAGCTGGCATGTTTATTTGCCCTTCTCTGGAAAGCCCTGTCTGAGTCATGTCTGAACATGCACACCCAACTAAGCTCACCTATTTTCTGCTGACTACACAGGGTCCATCTTACACATACACTTCTTATTTTACTGTCTTTCTGTGGAGTTATTAAATCCTGCAGCATTCAAATACCTGCCCTTTGTGTGTGTGTTGCAATCTGAGAGGATTAGAGGATTATCTGAGCAAGAACTGCCCAGCCAGTGAAAATACAACCAACTTCCCTGAAGAACTGCCAGCACAAGAGGAGGTGCACTGAGCCCTGCCTGGAAACCTCCCCAGCAGTATCCCTGTGTTCAGCCTGCCCCATGCTATCCATTCCAGAGCCCATGAAGCAGGGGAGCCAAGTATGAGGGCACAGGCTACACCCCTGTCCACTCTATCTCCTGTGTACCCTAAACTAGAGGCTAAGGCTGGCTACACTTAACAGCCTCAGGCTAAGGACGATCATTCTTGTTCCTCCCAGAGAAGAAAGTCAAGAAGTGGCAAGAACCTTGGTTTTGACATCCGTGTGTGTATAAGGCACTTCCTGGTTAGAACTTGTTCTGGATTTCCCCTGTTTTCAACAGATTAAGGAACATGTAGATGGAATTAATCACTTACGTTACTAAAGGCCTCAAGTCAGGTTTATGGGAACCAATGAGACAGAGCTCTCAGTTCACTGTATCATGCAGCTTATAAAATTCAGCTAATGTAGTGTGGGGACTACAGTGGTGCCCCTACCCCCACTTCTGTGGCTTTACTTTCTACCGTCTCCGTTACTTTGGGTCAACCATGATCCAAATTGTTAAATAGAAGCCTCCAGAAATAAACAATTCATAAGCTTCAAGTAACGGGTGAGGATCTTGTTAGCACTGTTATATTATTAATCATTGTGAATTCTTTTTTTTTTTTTTTTGGTTTTTCGAGACAGGGTTTCTCTGTGTAGCCCTGGCTGTCCTGGAACTCACTCTGTAGACCAGGCTGGCCTCGAACTCAGAAATCCACCTGTCTCTGGCTCCCAAGTGCTGGGATTAAAGGCGTGCGCCACCACCGCCCGGCTCATTGTGAATTCTTAACTGTCCTAATTTATACATTGTTTCAGTGGGGGAGGAAGGGCACTCAGGGACTCAGAAGGGACAAAGGAGCACTGCTGTACACATTTATAAAAAAATCCTCGAATCACCTTGTTTGTTAATAAGTCAAAAGTAAATGACTTTTTTTTAACGCTTTTCTTGTTATTAGCTTCTTTAATGCCTCAGTATATTTAGCATTAAAAGCTTAGTCAGACATATGGTGAAATATTCAGTCAAACCCTACGGAGCAGGTAGTACTTAAACCTATTTATTGACTCTTCTAAAAATGAAAACCACAAGCACTTCTCAAGCCTGAGCAGATGTTAAACCACTTCCCATATTAAAAAAAAAAAATTCATCAGCATCCCCCCCTCCCCAGGAACCTAGCCTTCCAGTCTGCACACCTCTAAAAAAACACTCCTCTAATTCGACCAGAACCAAAACACAGCAAACACCATAGAATGCTGCCGCTGTCTTCATTAAACTGGCTCCTTCCTTGTGGGAACTCAAGTATAATGAACGGAGTTAGTATTTTTCTTGGCATTTTGTTAAATTCACATCTTTCAGAGGTGTAAACTACATAAGTAACATCTCTCTTGTACTGGTACCAGTTTGTTGCTTTTAACCTGAATATAAAACTTGATTTTTATCTCTCCATTGTCATGGGAACTGAAATTAGCACATCCTAAGGAACACATACACCAGAAGGTCTGATTCTACCTTCAGAAGACATTTTCTTTTGCTGCAGAGGAACTTCAGGCTGTGACTCTGAGATGACCTCTTGTTGTCATGGAAGCATGGGAAGCCATTCCAGAGCCTCACCTGAAGGGACATAGTATTCACGATCTGACTTCCTGGTTTCAAATTAAGAGTCATGCTTGATTTGATGTTTCTCTTCCTCAAACAATTACCTGTCTCCTATGACAAGTGTCCGCCTTTCCTACAAATAGGGTAACAGAGGGCTCAGAGTAGATGTTCGTCATGCCATGGCAGTGGGTAGGCACCCAAAGAGGATTCTCAGAGTTGGAAAGGGTCTTAGGCATCATCAAAGGCAATTCCCCCCATGCTATGGGTAGCTCCTACTTTATGGTAGAAAGGACAACAGTCTTCCATTACACTCAATTTTACTTGCTGAGGCTTCAAGGTTTTGTGTTCAACCAAGGTCTGAAAATATCAAATGAAAAATCTCTCAAAGTAGTAATGTGTAAGTTCCAATAATTTTTCCACAAGATTTCATTATAACTGAATTTTAATAATTATCTATCTCTTGCTCTGATTTATAATTATAAATCTCTTGCTCTGACATATAATGCATGCGTGCTATTTTTATATTTATTACTAAGTCTTTGTTCTGTATGTAAAATGGGCATATATAAATAATCAGTATAAGACAATGCAGTTAGAGCAATTCAGCCCTAGCACAAAATAGTTACTTAACACATCCCTGTTCAATGAAAAGCTGACCACAGACAGTCCCCTAAGGTGTAACTCACTGCAAGATACTGGTATGGGCACAAGGTGTGTCAAAAACTAATAACTGCTCACTGAACATCCATTCTCTTTTCCAGTCTTAGACAGCCTACTGACTTTGTTGGTGTGGGGACATTATCCAATTAAAAGTCTATATCTTGACAGCCTCCCTTGAGTCTATTAGTGACCCATGTAATGGAGAATACAAACAAGCAATCTTTTAAAGGATGTCATGAATGGTAGAAATAAATGTTAAACTCATGGAGACTGCGTTTTGCAGCTATAACTTTCTAAGCCAGAATCTTAAGCACATCAGTCTGAGCAATTCCCAGAGGCTTCCTATGTACAAGGCTGGGGCATCAACGGTATTTTGCATATGACCAGCTACCCAGGTCACAGCAGCCAATCAGAAACAGAATTCCAGCTTCATTCTGAAGCTTTTATCCTTCTCTAGCCTTGAGTTTCATGAGATTTCTGAAGACGGATAAAATAAAGTTTCAGACATAAACTGCAGACAAAGGGCCACCTGTGTAGGTGTCCAGCAGTGTGACCTGAACAAATCAAAACGTGAAGCAGCCGATGCCGGCAGACAGGGGCGGGGCCTGGCCGTGCCCACGGGTGACCCTGCGGCCCAGAAGGGAGGCCCCCGCCCGGAGCGGGGGTTACCTGACAACGTTGTCTCCTCCTTGTACATCGCGCCCGCTGACAGCGTGACCAGGGGCGGCAGCCAGAGCACCAGCCACCACTGCCCGGACACCATCGCGGCTAGTGCAACGGAAGTGGCACAGTCGACCACGGGCGGGAAAGCAGAGGAAGGGGATGGCAGGGGCGGAGCCGGCCGCAGCCCCGCCCTTCCGCGGTCTGCCGCGCGGCTCGCCCATTGGCCTCCAGGGGGCGATCACCTGCCTTCCTGCTTCCTGCTTCCTGCTCCCGCGCCTGCGTGCAGAGTTGGCGGGCAGTTTAAAATAGGACTGAGTCTTGGGCAGGGTTTTCAGGGCACCAGTGTGGGCCACCTAGGAGGGCAGGCCCTTCATATGCACACTCTCAGAAATGAGATCAGCAAGCACCACTTAAATAAAAGCCTGGCTTGTTTGTTTGTTTGCCCCTCCCTTCACCTCTTCCTTTTTTTCTTTTTTAAAGCAACAACAAATTGGGAAATTCGGTGCTTAAATAAGTTGTGAACACAGTCCCTTTCAAACACCAAAAGCGTTATACAGGTTCACGATTAATAAAGTGTTACTTTAATAGAGATCTGGTGGCTGGAGAGATGGTTCAGTGCTTAAAAGCATTTATTGCTCTTCCAGAAGACCCATGTTTCAGTTTCCAGCATCTACATGGCAGCAGCTCCAACCATATGTAACTACAGTTTCAGGGAACCCACCCTCTTCTGACTTCTGCAGGCATGTGGTACACAGACATACACAAAGCTAAACACCCATACACTGAAATTAAAAAATAAACCTTCTTTTAAAAATGAGATTATATTTTTAAAAATTAAAAGATATAGTGAGTGTTCTAAACATAACCACCAGCCTGGCAGAGATGATGGTACTCTAAAGTCAGCCTATTGAAACAGAAGACTCCAAGAAACTGGAATGACCCCCAGGAAACTACTCCAGGAGAAGAGAAAGTCACCACCAACTACAAGAGATTATTATTCTCCTAGAAAGTGACTCACTTAGCCTTAACAGAATACTGAAAATCAAGATAGGTCTGTGTGAAAAGCAAGCCTTCTTTGGTCTCTGGAACCCTTTCAATATGACTTACTATTCCATACTTGAAACAGGGCAGAAAGGTGGTAGTGGATTGTAAGTCCATCATTTGAGAGACAAAGTTAATCATGAGTCAAGGTGAACCTCAGGGGCACAGGGAATCCAAGGCTAGTCTGGCTACATGAGACCTTACTTAAGCATCCTCTGATCTCCATCCCTGCTCCACCACACACACAATGCTGGAATAAAACTTGTCTTCTTTTCTCTAATTCCAGTCTTCCACTAACAGCACTAAACTCAATGTAATAAAAATTATTTTAAAAAAATAGCCAAGCTTCAATTTTTTAAAGATCTAAACAGGAAAGAATGTCTCTGAGTTATCTAAAGAAGGTTTTAACCAAATGCCCCGTATATACCTAATATGTCACTGTAAAAGCTCAGAATTTTCTTTTTAGGGAATTACCTGGGAGATGATTTTTAAAATAAAACATCATTATTTGAATCTATCCTTTATCAATTTTCCCCTAGATCCCTTTGGTATGCCTCTTGCAAAACAGCTTTTTGCTCCAATTCTGTTCAAACTGGTTTGGTTAATTTGGAATAGTGCTAAGGAAAGCAATGGAAAGACACATATCACCAAATGACTAACGTATTTTCTTACACCTGTCTCCAGTAGATAGAGAACAAGCAGAGACATATTGTTTACAGCGCTGTTCTAAAAAACTAAACCACCTTACTACTAAATTGGTAGATGAATTTAGTAGGTTGTTTTCAAAGGTAAAAATACAAATGGTCAATAAATATTTAATATCCCTAGCTATGGCAGCAGGTTTTGGTTATCAACTTGACTATATTTGGAATTAATTAGAAACCAAATGGCTGTGTACACCTATGAGAAAACTTTCTTAAATCATTTGAAGTGGGAAGACATACTTTTACCCCAGATTTTCAAAATGAGAAGATCCACCTTTAATCTAGGCCACATCTTTGGCCTGCAGCCTCTATAAAGGAAATGGAAGAAGGAAGCTTGCTCTTTTTGCATGGTTTCTTTTGCTAAGTCCATTCCTTCATTGTTATTAAAGCCTACCTGAAGTCCATATGAGATATCCATCCCCAAGGACTGAATAACTGCTAGATTCTTGGACCTCCCATTAATAAACAACAATCATTGAACTAGCTGGAGCACAGTAAGCCATTCTATCAGTTCTGTTCTTCTGGAGGACCTTGACTAATACCGATTTTGGTACCAGATATGATTCTATAGCAACAGAAGTAAGTGTAAAGATGAATATAATTTTTTTAAGTATCTGGAATAAACTTTCCAATTTGGTAACATCTATAGTTACCAAAACCTCTCCAGTTATTGATGCTTCTCCTAGCAGCTTGGAGAATACTGAAATCCCATGGTGTAAACTATTTTACAAACTTGAGAAAACAAACACATTTGATTATCCTGATTATGAGAGGCAAAGAATTTGGTGACTCTGTATATAAAACTTTTGGCAATTCATAGAAAAATAAGGAAAATGAAGATGCTTGTTGGCTACTCTTAGCATCTCTGGATGCTAAGCAGAAACTGACAAAGGAAAAGAATACACTTCATGATAAAATTAAGCAACTTCTACCTTACCAGAGTATGGAGTACAACAACAGTGAGCAAGTGGTAAAGATGATCAGCTTTAGGTGTGTGTAAATAGTCTAAAGGTTTCTAAAAGTGTCCTGGACGAGAATCTTCTCTCCAGCAACAACAGAGCTCAATTGCAAAGCCCTTAGTATACGGTTGCCCGGATTACAGCAAAAACTCAAGTCCAGGCCTTGGAGGGCATCATCCATTTAAAGAAGGGCATTAATTGGTAAAGAATGGGATCCTGTAACATGGAATGGAAATGTGTGCGAGGACTTTGAACCCTCAGATTCTTAGGGGTTTATATCACGTGAGGAAGTTGTCTCTCCACCCTAGACAGATGATGTACTCCCACCCTCACCACTGAAATACTGCCTTGTCTGCCATTGACTGAGGAAATTAATCCTCCACTGTTTGCTAAAACAGCAGTGACTTTCCTTGAAGAAAATGCCAGCCAAGACAATACTGATGTCCCTTGGGACCCACCAATAGTTACCTTTAGACTTAAGCCAGACTTAACTAGATATAAAGCAAAGCAAGCTCCTAGAGGAAAGGTAGAAAGTAGTACATGAGGAGGCACACTATACTGCTAAAGGGCTTAACAAGTTTGCTAACTCATTCACAACTCTGGGAATTCCTACATGTGTGGGAATGGATTTTAAGGGTATAGGATAATGGTGGAAGGAATGTAAAACTGGATTGGGCTGAGTTGACTGATAAGAGGCCTCTCAATGGAGGTTCCAGGTTTAATATGGAAGCTTGCATGGTTTTTAAAAAAAGTATCAAAAGTTTGAATGGTTGGCAAGTGTCAAAAGGTGACTTTCTGAAAAGGAGCTTGAAATGCCTGACATCTTTTGGCTTATTGATGAAGACATTTGAAAGCCCCAATGGTACAGTGAGTACCCTGTGTAAATCCTAGTCTTCCACAATGGGAAGGCCCATAAGGCATGCAATTCACTAATGTTATAAGACAAAAAATGCAGGGAGGGGGACCAGCACATTTGGAGCATTTTGTTGTCATTCTTTTCCTTAGGCCAGTCCTTAGAGCTGGAGGCATTGGTGCTCACTTGGACGATTTAAATACAATGGGTTTAACTGGGCTACAGCCTAGCAAGGGCCAAAGTCAAAGTGGTCACAGTTATATTGCAATGAGCAGCATGGACAAAGAGATGTTCATCATGGCCTGACCCATAATGGTCATCACAGGCAAAGTAAGCTTTATGGTGTGTCCAAGACTTTTATGGACATTCGGTATTGTTTACTCAGTCATCATGTTTTCAAGCAAGAAATAGGTAAGCATACTACTTTTTTTTAATTATTAATCTACATAGGTAGAAAAAAAACTCAAACAACTGAAAGAAATGCTACATTAGATTGTAGCAAAAGGGACTCTTGGCCTATTGAACCAATTTTCAGAATTCAGTCAGTTTATAAACCTAGAACTCCTTGAATAAAGTTGCAATTAGGTTCCCCTGAGGAAGGAGCTTGATAAACTACCTGAGAGTTTTTCCTGCTACTCTCTCCCAGTCATTTCCTAGAGGGAACTCTGGACTTTTACAAGAGTAACTGTACACTGGAGGAAAAGAAACTATCAGACTTTTCAGGGTCTAGTAGATACTGGTTCTGAATTGATGTTGATTCAGGAGACCCCACGAAACACTGTGGCCCTCCAGTTAAAGCAAGTGATTATGTAGGTCAGGTGGTTAATGGGGTTTCAGCAGGAGCTCCAGTGGGTCCTTGAACTCATCCAGTGATTATCTTCCCCGTCAGCCCCAGAATATGCATTGGAATTGGAATATATATATATTTGGAAGTTGGCAGAATTCTCTCAGGAATTTCTGACTGGTGGAGTGAGGGCTATTATCTATGATGGTTGGAAAGAATAAATAGAAATCTTTAGAAGTTGCCTCTTCCAGGAAAAATAGTAAATGAAAAACAGTATCACATATCTGAAAGAAATGGGTAGTAGAAGAAGGTACTTATAAATCCCAGCTAAGGCCACATGACCAGTTGCAGAAATGAGGATTATAATCGACATGATTATTTTGTCCTATTTTGTTAAAAATGTGTTTGTACAGATATTTGTGGATTTTCCTTTATTTCTTTAACATGCGATACAGCATCAATTAAGAGAACATCAGTGGTTATCATATTTAAGTTTGAGGTTCTAAAAGAATGTACCTCAAAAGACATAGCCATTTATTCTAAATTTACAATTCATGTGTTTGTGTGTGTCTGTGTGTGTGTGTGTGTGTGTGTCTGTGTGTGTGTGTCTGTGTGTCTGTGTGTTTGTACCATGGATATACATGTATGAGAGTTATATAATGTTAGGTGTAATGATGACCTGGTTAAATATATAATACATTTGCAATTGTATGTGGGATAGTTCTACCATGTTAAGTGCAATTACTGTCTTTTATTTAGAACT